CCTCCTACCTCCTCCTCCTCCTCCTCCTCCTCCTCCTCCTCCTCCTCTTCCTCCTACTCCTCTTACTACTACTACTACTACTACTACTACTACTACTAACTCTAACTCCTCAGATTGCCCGAGGATGGAGAGCGAGATATTTCATCTACTCAGGCTCTTGTCTCCGTCAGTGGCGGGTAAGTTCAGATGCTTCGTTTCCTCCTCTACCTCCTCCTCATCATTCTTCTCTTCCTCTTCTTCTTCCTCTTCCTCATCGACCTCTACCTCGTCCTCTTACTCCTCTCCTCCTCCTTCTCTCTCCTTCCACTCTCCCTCATTTCTTACACTCCCTTCAGGCCCTTCAGCTTCGCACTCTCTTCCTCAAGAGAACGAGTCACATCCAGATTTTTCGCCTTCATCGAGCTGTTCTCCGTGCGAGCTACGGAGAATGGAAGGTGAGCTGAAAATCACTTTCCTCCTCATCCTCTCCTCCTCCTCCTCCTACCTCCGTCCATCCATCCATCCATCCCTCCCTCCCTCCCTCCCTCCCTCCCTCCCTCCTCCTCCTCCTCCTTCCCCTCTTTCCTTTGCTCACGCTAGTGCAAGGTCAAGTTTCGTCAATCGTCCGCGCCGTCGCCGAATGCTTTGAAAGTCATAGTCGCCATGTTCAACAGGTCTCGTCCCCTGATCACAACAAGAATTCTCCATCTTCTCCCTCCTCCTCGTTCTCCTCCTCCTCTTCCTTCTTCACTCGCCCCTTCCTCCTCGTCCCCCTCCTCACCCTCCCTCACTTCCTCCTCCCCTCTCCTCGTCATGCTCTCAGCTGGGCTTCTGCAGAGGAGACGTCTGGAACTCTCTGTCGCTCTGGAACCTCTGCGTCGCTCACCGCTGGACCTCCGAGTACAGACGCTTCTGGTCGGCCATGCGCAGGTTGACCGCCCTCACTGCTCGTAGCTTCCATGCATGGAAGTACCGCGCTACCAGGTACATGTCGCCTCCCTCCCCCCCCCATCCCCATCCCCATCCCCATCCCCCTTCTCCTCCGTCTTCTTTCCTTTCTCTCCCTCACCTTGTCCCTCCTCCTCTGCCCTCCTTGTCCATCCCGTCCCTCCCTCCTTCCCTCCACTCCTTTCCTCCCTCCTTCCATTTCCTCCTCCCCTTCACCCCTCCTCTTCTCTCACATCCGTCCAGCGCCTTCTGGTTCCAGCACATTGCCAGCAACAGGAGGAAGAATCGCATCGCACCCCACCTGAGGTAGGAGCAGGCAGCTTGAGGGCAGCTGGGGTGACTGCGATGGCAGGAGGTTTGCGTTCCAGGGTTGGGCGCAGGTGACGTTCGGGTTGAGCTCGGAAATTCCGCGGACCAAGTCATGACGAGGGAGAGGTAATGCACCAGCACCAGCACCAGCACCAGCACCAGCACCAGCACCAGCAGGTTGTAACAACAAGCGGACAAGAGCAGGGTAGAAAGAGAGATGGAGGAGCAACCTAGTGTTTTTGGTATTGAGTGAACGAGACTTGATCTTCTCAGCTCTACCCCAGCTCTACACCACCTCAGGCTGTGCGGTGATGACAAGCCTCTCGCAGTCGCAGCTCGTCGCTCCCCACCTGGTTGTCATCCTGTCCGACGCGCAGAAGTAGCAGGAGGAGGAAGCGGAGGCGTTTGAGAACTTGCCGAACTCGCAGTTGACACAAGCTGAGAGGGAGAAGTTAGAGAGCAAGCAGCAGCAGCAGCAGCAGCAGCAGCAGCAGCAGCAGCAGCAGCAGCAGCAGCAGCAGCAGCAGCAGCAGCAGCAGCAGCAGCAGCAGCAGCAGCAGCAGCAGCAGCAGCAGCAGCAGCAGAAGCAAGCAAGCAAGCAAGCAAGCAAGCAAGCAAGCAAGCAAGCAAGCAAGCACTTACCGTCATTCGACAGGATCTCCTTGTATGTCCCAGGAACGCAGGGCTCGCATGCTCCGCTGAGCCTCGTGTACCCCTCGACGCAGAGACACTCTGAAACAGCCGCAAAGTTCGAGTCAGGCAGAGTCCAGGAGTGAGCTGGGCAATCTTTGCAGTAGGAAGAGGCCGGCATGTCCATGTACTTCCCAGCTGCACAGGTTTGACACTCAGTCATGTTGCCGTCCCTGTACTTCCCCCGCGAGCAAGGCTCGCACGCTGGCCCGGCAACCAGCTGGTATCCGAGGTCACAGGAGCAGTTGGTGATCGATGTGCTCGCGGGAGGAGAGCTGGAGAAGTTCTGACAGCTTGCACATGTCCTGTTCTCTTCCATGTAGGTGCCAGCTGGGCAAGCGGTACAGCTGGAGTTGGAGGAGCTCAGGTACCCGAAGTTGCAGGAGCATGCCGTCATGTTGTCGCTGCCCTCCGTCTCCGTGGACATGTGCTCGGGGCAGGAGGTGCAAACTGACATTCCTAGCTCGTCCGCGAACGTCCCGATGGAGCATGCGACACAAGCGTCGTTCCCGATCCAGCCCTTGTACTTCCCCAGCTGACAGGCGGTACAGTTTCCGTCTGGTCCAGCCTCGTACCCGTAGGTGCAGGAGCAGTTGTCAGAGGCGACGCTTCCTACGGGAGAGGAGGTCAGCGAAACGTTGGGGCATGTCGAACAGGCCGTCGCTCCTTCAGTGTCCCCGTAAGTTCCCTCCGGGCAGAGCATGCATGTCGAGCTCCCGTTGCCCTCGCCGTAGCTGCCGATCGCACATGACTCGCACGCTGTCTGCTCCGTGGACTTGAACTTGCCGGCTGTGCAGGCCATACAAGTCGTGCCGTTGAGATCGTACCCGACGATGCAGGCGCAGGCGGAGGAGGAGGAGCTTCCAGCAGGGGCATCCTGGTTCTCAGGACAGGCGGTGCAGGATGTTTCGCTGGTCGCTGCTGGGGTCGAGGAGTACTTGCCTTGCGCGCAGGGGGTGCAGGATCCCGTGCCTGCGCTCGCCTTGTACGTTCCAGCTGGGCAGGCTGTGCACTGTTGAGTGCTCCCTGCCGAAAACATGAAGAGAGGAACTCGAGGGATCGCGTCCAGCCATGAGCCCTGCGGCTGAAGAAGCGTCAGCAGCAGCAGCAGCAGCAGCAGCAGCAGCAGCAGCAGCAGCAGCAGCAGCAGCAGAGGAAGCAGAGGAAGCAGAAGGAGGAGGAACGCAGAAGCAGAAGACGAGGAGGAAGAAGCAGAATCTCACGTTGTAGCAGGAGTTCTCCAGCCTCGTCGTCACTGCAGTGCTCGGGATGTAGCCTGCCTTGCAGTCGCAGGTGGACACGTAGAGCATGATCTGCGTGCCAGGGAAGGCGGCGAAAGAAACTTTCCTTGACGTGCTGGTTTGCGATGACCCTGTTGGGCATTTGAAGGAGCAGAACTGAGATCCTGTCTGCCCGTCCGTCCATTCGTAACTTTGACAGGCGGCACAGGACGAGTTGCCAACGCTCGCCTTGAAGGAGTTTTGCGAGCAGGCGGTGCAGACGCCGAGGTCGTTCCTCTCCTTGCCAGGGCCGCAGAGGCAAGAGGAGGCGTCGACCGGGTCGGTCTCGAACAGAGTGTAAGTGTCAGGAGGGCAGGAGAGGCAGCCGGTGTCGTTGAAGCACGCGTTGCTGGGGGAGGGATACGAGTCTTTAGGGCAGAACCTGCAGACTGACTCCTCGACCGCAGGGAAGCCGAAGCCCTGCCAGCTGAGCAAGTCCGAGCTCTTCCAGAAGACTTGCCGGCGAGATGACAGAGCCATGGTGAGGGCACCTGCGGCAGGAGGTCAGGGGGATGGAGAGGGAGGAGAGAGGGAGTAGAGATTACTTAGAGCAAGCAGAGAGTCCTCGCTCGACGTCATTCCCACGTCGTTCAACTTCGCGGCCTCGGACTGCAGGATCGTCTCCTCTTTCGAGGACAGCCCGATTCGGCCGAAGGCCAGCGACGCAATGATGTTAGCAAGCGAGGTGGGAGGAAGCGATCGGAAGGCCTTCAGCGCTTGCTCAGCCAGCGTGTCGTTCCCCAGCTCATGCGCGTAGAGGGCCCCGACAGCCTGGGCTTGAGCTCCAGCTGGTTGAGAGGAGTAGAGTGAGGTGAAGAGAGTCTCGCTGCCATAGCTGATAGCCTCTCCACTGATCAGCTGCTGCAAACTGCTGAGGACGGCAGCATGAGCGGGAGTTTCGTCGAAGTTGAAGGAAATCTTGAGGGCGAAGTAAGCTTCCAACAAGAGCTCAGTCTTGCAGCTCGAGGTGGCGGTAACTTGCAGGAGGCATCGCTCAACAGCCGCCATGATGGAGGTGGCCAGCGCTCTTGTAGTCCCAGCATAAGTGCTGTTGTGCCCGAGAAATATTCCATGAATCGACAGGAGCTGCAAGGAGAAGACGGACGCCTCAAACGTTTTTGAGCTTTCATCCCCTTGCGCTGAGAACCTTGCGAACAGGAGAGCGGAGGAGTTGAACAAGTCAAGGCAGGGACTCCCGCTTCCTTCCGTGACACTCGAGTTGACGAGGAGGAGGAAGGAGTCGAAGACGCTGACATGCTCCGACGCGTAGCCTGAGATCATCAAGTTGATGGCAACTTTGACCTTTGTGACCGTTAGGGTTGCTGATGTCACGTTGCCCAGGTATGCAGCCAGCATGGCTGAACGCCTCATGGTTTGGTTGTAACCGTCTGAAACCTCCGGGTAAGGACTTGAAGCCTTGATGCTCGGAATGTGAGGGGCAAAGCAATCTTTGCAGAAGAATTCCTCACTGTAAGAGCTGCTGACATCATCGTTGTGGACCGTGCAGTGTTGAGATTGAGCAGCAGGCGAGAAATGCCAGGGGGAGAAGGCGGGGAGGCTACAGTCGCGATCCCACAGACAGTCCTCGAAGACCAGGGGCGACCCGAACTTCCACCTGGATGTCTCCAACCTTGCAGCTGGGACGAGCTGAGAACTCTGGCGGATGGCCTGGACGGAGAGCTGGGGGGCGCTACCTCGACAAGTCGGGGTGAGAAGAAGAGAGAAGACAACTGGCTGTCCAGCTTCGACCTGCTGGTTCCTAGGGACGATCAACCTGAGTTTCGACTTGGAGAGGGTTGCCAGGTCGAAGAAGGACGAGTTGTCTCCCAGCACGAGAAGGGAAGCGTCTTCCTCCTCCACCCCGCTGATCCCGCTGATGATGAGCTCGGTGAATTCGGGCAGGGCCACGTTGGATCTCAGCCTCAACGTCCACGTCACCTTCCCATCCACGAACTGGTCCAGCTGCTCCACCTCCCTTACCACCCACTGCGCCCTCGTACGAACGGTCTCCTGCTCCTGTCCTGTGTAGAAGTAGCCTACCTCGACGGACTTGCTCATCCCCTGAGGGTACGGCTGGCTCACTACCTGGTCCCACTTCTCCCCTTGCTTCGCCACCAGCGCTACCCAGAGCTCGACGACGCTCGCCGTCGCTCCTGCTGGGCTGACCTGCCCCTTCAGGTCCTCTGGCACACCCAGGAAGAAGCTGTCTCCTCCTCGCAGCGCCGCCCTGTCCTCCACGAACCTGTAGATCCCACGAAAACCAGCGATGGGCTGCTGGTTCAGCACGAGGTCGCTGTACCCTCTCGCACGCTCCCCGACGTCGACAGCCGGGTTGCTCTGCTGCCGCCACACCTTCCATGTCGCCTCATCCAAGTCCGGCCAGCGGATCTGGCGAGCATGCATGTCAAACAGAGGGAGGTGATGTGGTGGAAGTGAGAAGGGGAAGAAATGGATGATGACGAGGAGGAAGGAAACGACAAGAAGAATGCGCGAGGAAGGGGAGCTGGGAAGAGGAGAGTTGGATAAGGAAGAGAAATAGAACGAAGACAACAAAGAACAAGTATGCAAGGACGCAAGAAGAAGATGAAGAGAAGGAGAAGAGTAAGAAGAAAGGGGAGAGGAGGAGAAGGAGGAGGACAAGGAGGAGGAGGAGTAAGAAGAGGAGTACCATGAAGGTAAAGTATCCCCGAGTGTCTCTGTATGCCTCGAGCATTTTCATGCGGCTGAACTGATCAGCGGTCTCGTTCCACTCGTTGACTTCTCTCAGCCACTGGAGTTTGTCCACCGAGATGAAGTTGTCAACAGTCTGCCGCATCATCAGCGCCCAGGAGTCCCCGGGTACCCACGAGGTGAAAGCAGGAGGAGGAACGCGGGTAACGGAGAGGAGCTCCGACTGGTTGACAGCTGAAAGCTCAATGTGCCGCTCGTGGAGGAACGACCTGCAGCAGAACGTCAGGACGATGGACTGGCAAGGTGTGCCGGGGAGGAGAAAGAGTTGAGTCAAGAGGACTCAAGGAAAAGAGGATGTCTTTGTAAGGGAGACGGAATGGAAGGAGGAGGAGGAGGAGGAGGAGGAGGAGGAGGAGGATATAATCAACTTTTACCTGCAAATGGAGTTGGACAGGTTGTACACTCCGTTGGTTCTTGACCCGTAGATCACATCTTCGGACACTTGAGGCACTTGAACGCGAAGTTGAAAACTTCGAAGGAGAAAGGAGAGCGATCTCATTGCAGGCAGCGCGTCTGGTTTCAGGAGACTGACAGCAAGAGTTGTCGCCTCCCCATAGGTGTAGTCGAGAACAAACATGGAAACTCCTTCCTCTCCCCCCGCCGACAGGACAAGCCTCTTGTGGGAGAGGAACACGACGTCGAGCTCATACGAGGAGGAGTTGCTGATTGTCTCCAAGAGGACAAAGCTTCCCCCGCTCTGCTGGAAGAGAGCTGTACCGCCTGCTCCGAGGGCCATGGCAGTGAACCAGTTGAGCTGGGGATAGTCAGGAGCGTCGAGGGATACAACATCGTGCACGGAGAGGGAAAGAGTCTGGAGTGCATCAAGACGCAGCTCGCTGCTGGTCAGAATGACAGTCGTGTTGGTTTGCTGGGATCGAGCAAAGATGTAGCTGAGGTCGTTGAACTGGAAGGGCACGAGATAGGAGCTCTCGGTCAGATTGTGAGACCATTGGAACTCGAAGGACTTGGACCGGAGGGAGTATGTGAAGGTTTGTAGACGAGTCCCTGAGGTTGAGACGGCCACCAGGGATGGAAGTCCTGAGTACCTCAGGAAGTGAATTGCTCCGATCTCAGCCTCCAGGTCGATTTCTTGCTGAACGCTTCCAAGTTCACGGTACAAGATCGGGTAGAACGACAACTTGGTCTGGTTCTCAACCGCAGCCTGAAGGTAACTTGTCAAGAATGTGACACCTCCTGGATACAACAAACAGGATGAAAGACATGAACAACATTCATCTCAGAAGGGAAAAGATCCTTCCACCTATCGGATAAGACATCAACAGAAAAAAAGGGAAACTCACCAGCATCCAAGAGCTCTCCTCCATCGCAAAGATCTCGATGATTTGGCTTTGCCAGGAAAGCTGTTGAATGATGAAAACATCCATGAGATCTTGGTCAAACTCCAGAAACTGCAGCTTTCCGTCCGAGACAAACGCAAAGAATCGAGAAGTCCCATTGTTGATGATGTGTAGTGATTGAACAGGAGGGGAAACGTACTGGTTGAAAGTGTACACCTTGATGTCAGAGCCATTGGCTGTCTGCGAGAGCTCAACAAACTTGATGCCGGTGCACGTGGAGGACTCGCAGACCGAGTTGGACATCACCAGGAAGTTCTTCTCCGCCAACTTGTCAAACTCGGGTAAGACAGTCGATACATCCTGTGTTACTTGATCGATCTTGCAGGAATCTTGAAAGATGAGGCAAGAATGTTCAAAATATGAGAACCCATAGCACGTGTGGAATCGACTCTCCTCGCAGGCAGATTTGCAAGTTTGGAGGCTGTCAGTGAAGAGGACATTTCCAGAGCCAGAGCACGCCCTGTGGCCACTGACGGACCAGTTGGATTGTTTGCAGTCAAGAGGACAACTGACGAAGTGAGGAAAATCAGCGATGTTGAGGTCAGCTGCTGCCGTGGAGCAAGAGACGTAAGATAAGTCTGTGTAGACAATGGTGGTCTGTGTGGAAGGGATCAAGAAGTCCGTAGAAGACCAACACGCCTTCA